TCTCTCTCTCTCTCCTCTCTCTCTCTCTCTCTCTCTCTCTCTCTCTCTCTCCCCCCCGCTCCTCTTTCCTTCTTTGTCCTCCCTCTTTCTCTCCCCTCTCTCTTCTTTTCTCTCTCTTTCTCTCTCTCCCTCCTGGCTCGCTCTGTTCTCTCTTTCTCTCTGTTTCTCTCTCTTCTCTGTTTCTCTTTCTCTCCTGTCCTCTTCTCTCTCTCTCCTTTATTTTGTATAATTGAGCATAGAACTTGTGAAGTTTCCTCCTGCACACACAATGGTAAGAAGCTTCTTTTCAGTGATAGAATCGGCATCTTATCTTTCACTTTCTTTTACAAGGTATTCATTTTATTCAGCTTCTTTTTTTTTGTTCTATTGTACTTCAATAATCAGATTCTTCATTGATACGTGTATTTTTATAGGCTGAATAGTCCAAAGCAAGTTATGACTGAATTGATCTTTTTCAGACTATTGGTTTATTCAGATAAAATTGATAAGCTGTGCAATGTGTCTTTTGTAGTGAATCAGAAATTGCCATAATCCAAACCCTCCAGTGAATGTATGAGATGTAGGAAGCTGAATCTGTAGTGCTGGTTAGTACAGGTCTATACATTAGAGTCGTCCACCCAGGTCCTGTATATTGGCAGCTGAGTTCCTGAGTTTGTGTATTGGAGGTTTCCTGTAGTGTAAACAGAGCAAAGTGAGCCCTGGGCTTTCCAGCTCAATCAGAGCCCCAGTCTATTTTGCTGCTCTCCACCAGCTCGCTGAAAGAAAGGCCTGTCTAATCCAAAGAAAAAAAACAAACGAGGTTGCCTTTAAACAACGAAAGTGGAATGGTTTTGATAAAAGTTGAAATACCCCAGCCTCTCCCTTTCAGGGAACTTGGCTAAAAATAATTGCTAGCGATGCATTTGATCTCCAGTGCTAAGCAGCCAGTGAGTGAGGCACAGGTGACTTGTTCCAATTAGGAATTGTCTAATTAAATTAATGTCACAAGAAGCAACCAATGGTCAGAGAGCTGAGAGAATACTTTTCTTTACTTGTCCTCCTCTCTGTCTTGCCATGAAAGAGGCAGCAAGCCCCTCCCTGGAATCATTAGCCCTAATAGAGGTGTGAAGAAGGCGACCGTATATAAAGTGGGAGAAGCAGCCTTTTGACACATTTGATTCTCCCTTTCAAAGAGAGGAGTCCTGTGACTCTCTGAGTGGGCTGTTTCCTCCTCCTCATCAGTTTCACCCACTCCTCTGCCACGTCAATTGGAGGCACCTATGGATCAGATTGTACACTGAAAGGACATTTCATCTCTCAGCACTCATCATTCCCCTTGTTCTAGCCCCCTGCCCCCTCCTTTTTTTCTAGTGAGGGTCTGCTGTACATGGTGTCTGCCACAGCCCAGCCGGTACAGATTTTGAGGCAGGCTTAACCCTCATCCAGACAGAGGATGCAGCTAGGAGAGCAGATCCTGACCAGCTCTGCTCCTAACCTGCCCCACACCTTCTACCCTCTGCCTGGGGACCCCAACAGCGCCGCCCAGAGCCCAGGCTTGGATTTCAGCGTTGGGCAACACAAGAGCCAACAGCAACAGCAGCAGCACAAGAAGTACCCCAGGGGCCTCCACTTAGACAGCCCAAGAGAAGCAAGTTCCAGTAACACTGCTGCCAACACTATGCTCAGCGAGCCCAGCGAGAGCTTCCAAGCCACCAAGAGCCTGCAGGACAACAGCAGAAAAGGCTCCCCAGTAGTGGAAGAGGACCTGACTTCTGTCCCCCCAACTTCAGCTCCACGGTACCTGGACAACACTATGCAGGTAGCCTCTGAGCGCTATTACCTGCCACCCCAAGGACAGCAGCACCAACAGGCTGGGGCAGAGCTGGGCTCCCCCTGCTCCATCTTCCCTTATGCCCCACCGCAGCACAGCGCCGTGTACCAAGCGGGTGGAGCAGCCAGGTACACCCCTTACAGCAGCATGCTACCTCCAGCCGGCTTCTCCCCTCCAGTGTGTCCCTCTCGCCCACAGTACTCCACCGGCTATCAGTACAGCCAAGCGCCTGGTACCATGTACAGCCCGTACCCAGCGGCCGGCTCTGGCAGCGGACTCAGTGCCCTTGGACTGCCTGGCACTGGGGCTGGAGTTCGGGCACAGGTCTACCTCTGCAATCGTCCTCTGTGGCTCAAGTTTCACCGACACCAGACCGAGATGATCATCACCAAGCAGGGCAGGTAAGTTCAAGGCACTGGGTGGCATGGGTGGGTAGCCGAGATCTAGAAGTTACACTGTTATATATATATATATCAGTGTAACTTCTGTAGATCTCATTAGATCTCAGTTGCATGCTTTTGATTGTGTGTGTATATATACCAAGGTAAGGATCCTTTATTTTACAAAAAGTGCCAGCTTTTTTAAACTTAGACTTACTGAAAATAACGATCTTTATATACAGATCAATGAAAAACTTCCCGAGCCTATATGCTACAACATAAGAACCTGTATATTGTACAGGAGAAAGTTGATTTCTAGTTACTAAGAGGTTCTATAAAGGCATATTAGCCCATAAGTATAGGTTCTGGTAAACTCTATATTAGCCAATGCCGTGGTATAGGTTCCATAGAGCTCACCTCTATATTGGCCAATAGGTATAGGTTCTATAGAGGTCACCCGTATATTGGCCCATAGGTATAGGTTCTATAGAGGTCATCTGTATATTGGCCCATAATGTATAGGTTCTATTGAATTCATCTGTATATTGGACCATAGGTATAGGTTCTATAGAGGTAAACTAGCCCATAGACATAGGTTCTATAAAGGTCCCCTCTATATTAGCCCATAGGTATAAGTTTTATAAAGGTCACCTCTATATTAGCCCATAGGTATAAGTTTTATAAAGGTCACCAGTATATTGGCCCATAGGTATAAGTTTTATAAAGGTCACCAGTATATTGGCCCATAGGTATAAGTTTTATAAAGGTCACCAGTATATTGGCCCATAGGTATAGGTTAAAGGTCACCTCTATATTAGCCCAGTTTACATTAGAAATTACAGAGCTTTGGCTTCTTTCTTTAACTTGCCTGATAATTGTGTTTTTTGTCATTCACCGGCTAGTATTTCTTCCAGCCTCTCTATATAGATCCAGATAGATTGTTTTTTTAGATGTTTTACTGAAATGTTTTGCTCCAATCCAGCATGCAGGATGTCTGTGGTTTATAGAAGCAGAATATGAATATAATTCAGATGTTACTCTCATTATAAAGTCATGATCCTATGTCCAGGCATGGGACAATTGTGTATGATACCCTTCCTTGTATCGTTATCTAGGAGGATGTTCCCCTTCCTCAGTTTCAACATCACCGGCTTAAACCCGACAGCCCATTACAACGTGTTTGTGGAGGTGATTCTGGCCGATCCCAACCACTGGCGATTCCAAGGGGGCAAGTGGGTGACCTGCGGCAAAGCGGACAATAATATGCAAGGTGGGTACCTGCAGGGCAGTGGCGGGATGTGGGACTACAAGTCTCAGGATGGACAACTAGTACACGGCTACAGAGGCTTGCATTTTCACAGTGGGTGCTCTCTTTGCCTGTATGATTATAATCTTAATTTTGATATATCCTGTGAATGGGAATTTATTTCCAGAAGAAAAAGATACTTATATCGATTACTTTGTTGATACATTGAAGACCGATAGATGATAGATAGATAGATAGATAGATAGATAGATAGATAGATAGATAGATAGATAGATAGATAGATAGAATAATAATTATTATTATTTAGGTGAGAGAGAGAGAGATTGATAAGTGGCTTATAAATTGAAGGATAAATTACACATACCTGTTAGATCATCAGTAGGTGATATTTGAATTGAGACGTAGATTATATAGAAGATGTATTAATAAGAAGACTTTAAATAGATAGATAATGTATACATTAATAGACAGGTTAGATAGAGTCTGTATACCCTGATAAGAACATTATTAGATAGATTGATTCGTTAATATAGTAATAAATGAACAGACGATACATAAATTCATAGGACGAATATTAGGTAGATGGACATATAATACAATATAATACATACATTGATAGGTAAATGGACAGATAACCGATACATTGATAGGTAATGATAGGTAGACGGACATATAATACATACATTGATAGGTAATTATGTAGATGGACATATAATCGATACATTGATAGGTAATTATAGGTAGATGGGCATATAATACATATATTGATAGGTAATTATAGGTAGATGGACATATAATACATACATTGATAGGTAATAGGTAGATGAATTATACAATGCATGATAGGTAATAATAGGTAGATGGACATATAATACATACATTGATAGGTGTATTTAATAGGTAGATGGGCATATAATACATATATTGATAGGTAATTACAGGTAGACGGACATATAATACATACATTGATAGGTAATAATAATAATAGGTAGATAGGCATATAATACATACATTGATAGGTAATCATAGGTAGACGGATCATATGGGAGATGAAATAACTAGTCACATGGTATATAAATGAACAGGTATGTTATTATGGAGGTAATGATATATGGACACATAAAGAGTGTTGTAGATGTATTGATCTCCCTATCTATCCTGCATCTAATGGGCTCCCCTCACCCCCATACAGGTAATAAAGTGTATGTGCACCCCGAGTCCCCCAACACTGGAGCGCACTGGATGAGGCAGGAGATCTCGTTCGGGAAGCTGAAGCTGACTAACAACAAGGGAGCCAATAATAACAACACTCAGGTAAGACTGCAATACCATGGACAGCGATTGTGCTTCATCCTATGGCACTCTCCCACATTACCGCAGGTCTATCAGACATGTGAACATCGGGATCGGAAGGAACGCGCATTGTGCGCACTGGAGGTTGTAAACTCTCCAACATTAGTAAATAACGCAGCATTGTTAGATCCACACGGAACAATAATGATTCATCGCATTCTTAAGATGTCAGAACTAATTTTGATCATTTCGGCTAAGATTTAAAAAAAAAACAAAACTGAAAGCATGTGTCAGAATGGCTGCGAGGTCAACGTCTTTTCATTCTGTTTTTTTTTTTTTTTTTACTTTTCTCAGAGCGTTAGAGTTAAGAAATGTTGGCTTTTCTCACTCTGTTCTCACGTCTGTTTTACATTCAACACCTTTCCCACACGCCTGCTTACCTGTGAGTCAGCCTCACCGCACACGTATTTAATGGGCTTCATGCCCCAGCTCTAACACAGTCTTATTAGAGCC